CCCCCCCCCGAGGAAGGAGCAGCCTTGCCAGGCCACAGAGGAGGACATTGCCTGTCCTGAAGAGACCTGATAAGCTAGGTCCAGATGGAAGAGGAGGAGGACCTCCCCTATCAGTGGACTTGGAGAAGGGCATAGGAGGAGATGAGGGAGGGAGAGTGGGATTGGGAGGGAATGAGGGAGGAGGCTACAGCTGGGATGCAAAGTGAATAAAATATAATTAATGTAAAAAAATAAAAATTTAATTAAAAAAAAACCTCAGGAACACAAAAGCTTCATGTGTCATGTGGTTTCCTCTGTTTCTAAACCTTCCTTTACTTATCAGGCAGATGGGTCCTTTTGCAGCCTAGGTCATGGTATGATAATGCCTTCACTAAAGAACTCTAGTGGCTCCTGTTTACTAAGAGAATCATCCAGAATCCTTAATAGAATCCCCTGCAGGCCTTTTGTGACCTGTCTTTTGCTTACTGTCCCAACCTAAGACTCTAATATTCCTGGCCCTGCTTTTGTATGAGAAGGAAACCAGAAACCTTCCACTCTCAAAATCACACTTGTCTGTTGTCCACTTTTTCACATTTTGTTTGTTTGTCTGCTTGTTGAGTTAGTTTGCTTTTGTTGGTGTTTTTGCTTGCCTAGCAATAACTTTTCCCTTACCCTTTCCCTCCTGGCATTCTTTGCTATCAATTTGAAGGATTTTTTTTGGCCATCATTTCTATGTAGACTAGATTTCTTTCCCACTTTCTCTCTTGATGCTACTAAATTGTCCTGCCATATTATTATTTACTTATTTGATCTTTGCTATTTTTATCACTTTGTATTGCTTAGAGGTAAAGTCCATGAGGGACAATTTTGGTTACAAATCCTGTCTTAAGAACTACATATTACTCCTAAATAATGCTGTTTCTGTACATTGGTTTAACAAATAAATCAGTGATTAACACTGGGGATGAAGCTTTATCTTTCTGTTCCTCACTGAAATACTCATTTGATCTATGATTATTAATTATAGTTTGACATCAGTTATAGTTACTAATAAACTTAGCACATGATACAGGAACTTTCAAATTGAGACAGTTATCTGAAAACATCACAAGAGTAGTTAAATATGTGTCAAACAAATACATCAGGTTCGCCAAAATAAATACGAGTTTCCATGTTTTCTCACCCATTTTAAATATTATTAAAAGTTTGTGATAAAGAAGTTCTTATTTTTCCCCTTTGGATGTTACAGCTGCTTATTTGTCCTTAACCGAGTAAGAAGAGTTATCATGTTCAGGACAACCTGACTCTTGATACACAGTCCTAAGCAAGGATGCTAGAAAATGGTCATACCCACCTGCTGTCATTGACTAAAGATTTGATGATGTGGTATGAGTTGTGATTTTGTCAATTATTAGCTTTTTTTTATTGTGGACAATTCAGTGGGAATTCTCTCAGCCTGCTCTCTAACAGAGGGATGATGCAGGCCCTGAACATCTCTGTATATCAGAAATAATCTTATTAAGTATTATACACGCAAATGTTTTTAAGACCATGAAGAACTCCAGCAATATGAAGTCCTACTACACTAGTAGCAACCCTGCAATATTGATGGCAGTCTTCTCTTTCCATATTAGAAAGGTCATGGAATGGGCTCTAAAACAACCACCTATATTTAAAGTATGCATTATATGACATTATGTCCTCCAAGACTATTATGTGTGCCTCAGATAAGCAGAAAATTGGGAAGGGCAGGGTTTCTAAACTATCTTCCTGTGGTCAGCTACTTAGTTCTATAAAGCCATACAACTGTGTTCAAAGTGGACAAGAGATAGAAGGAATGAGTTCCTAGTTCCTCTGTGACAAAGTCAACGTGGGTGCCACTTCCAAGCAGGAACAAGCTACGTCAGCATGATAGGAACTGACTCATCAGAAGCTGAAAGACTTCTGTCCTTCAGAAGTCCATTCCAGCTGCTCTCCACTGTCTAGTTCTCCTCACCTTTCCCCTTTTCTTCCCCAACCAGAGAATGTGCAGACAAGAGAGAAGAGTTCCTGGAGGGATGAAGAGAAGAGAACCATTTCAGTTCCCTTTATCTCCCCACTGCAAGCTGTGCTGCTGAGTTAAAAATACATAATTTGGTTTCCAAATCTATTTCAACCTCTGCCTGGCCTACTGAGTAGTCGAAAACCATCCGATTTCAATTCACATCTTTGCTTTTAGCTTTATTTTAAATGGAACACGGCTAAGTTGTATAAACAGATAAAAAGTAAATGTCCCACAAAGAGCAGAAATGGGATTAAAGGAAGCAGGAAGCCAATCCATATTTATAGTGTACCATGGTCAAAATCTGAATGGTTTTCATCTTATTTTTAAAATGCCAAACTTTCCACAAAGTATAAAATGTCAAGTCACGGAAGGGATGAAAGTTGTGGTCTCTAGGATTATGTGATAACAGTAATGTTTCTTTTTATGTTCGGTAGTTCACAATTAAACCCTCGTGTAAACAGCTAACCCATGTCCTGCAGGTGATAATTATCATCCTTCTATTACATTTGGAATACTACGTGCTTACGGAGAATGGCTTACAGACAATGGCCCATTTCTGAACAGTCAATCATCTCACCACAAATACCTATAAGCAGAGTGAAAAACATTCCTAACTTTGTGTTTTTGTGGTAACTTTGTTAGTAATTAATTACTTGCTAACCCTCAAAGTAGGATAGCTGCAACCCTGCCCTTGTAAACATGGTTTAAAAGGATGGCTGAGTAAATGATACAGATCATTCAGTAATGCCAAGTGAGATGGCTGAGGAAGACCTTGAGACACTTGGCAGCATGATAGTTGAACCAGACCTAGCCCTCAGAGTATGGTCTGCCCAGTGTTGTCGGAAAGAGAGTACATGGAGAAAATGCTCCTGCACAGCAGATTCCTTTCTTCTTCTGTATATATATATATATATATATATATATATATATATATATATATATATATATATATATATATA